TTATTATTATTATTATTATTATTATTATTATTATTATTATTATTATTATTATTATTATTATTATTATTATTATTATTATTATTATTATTATTATTATTATTATTATTATTATTATTATTATTATTATTATTATTATTATTATTATTATTATTATTATTATCACTATTACTGTTATTAATTACTATTATTATTATGCAAAAAGGTGGATTTTAAATTTTTGCTGAGAATGAATTAAATTTAATTAGAATTGTTTTTGTAGAGTGATGCATACGTGTTGCAATTTGACGATTAATGAGGATGTTCAAATAAGAGCACATACTGGGAACGATTGTTTTTTATATGATTTACCGGATGGTTCAAACGGTACCACAGCTGAGGAACTGGAAAAGGAAGACAAAGAAGGATATACATTATTAAAGGATATGAATAAAGTACCGGAACAATTTGCCGATTTTTCTGGTTATCGCCTCAGGCTTTATTTACTACGTAAAAAGGAACAGTCACAGTTTGTGGTAAAGGGTGTCGAACGAAACGAGTTGGCTTTTAATTTAAATTAACAGTAATACATACAACTTTTCTAATCCTCAATAGAGTTCGGGAAATATTTATGACGAATTAATGTTATCCGCTTCAGGGAATTTCTCTTTTCATTAATACCATTGTTAATATCTATGAAAGGACCTGAAAGTATTGACTATCCGATAATTTTACTATCTTTAACATTTCTATCTTTCTCAATAATTAATTGCTAAAATTAATCAGAAATGATTTTTAACTTTCCAAAATTTAAAATGCTAATTACATTCAGGGTTGGCTATCGGGTGACCATTTGTAGTATACAATGCCAGAATGATACTGAAAAGGTTGAAAAGGTGGCCCATGACGAAGGAAATGTAGATTTGGGTAGAAAAGAACCAGTTATTAGTGATAATACTCTGAATCAAATCAAGTTTGCATTACGAAATTTGACCGATGATGGACAGTGGTTGATTGCTCACTGGGCTGAATGGTCTTACAAGAAGTAAGTTAAACAATTTTTTTTTTTAATCCAATCAACAAAATATATATTTAAGCCAAATAGATCATTTGATTTCTCAAATATTCCATCTTTAATGTCATTTTCAATTAATACTAATATATTAACGCAAATTTTTAGATTCTTTCCAATTGAAAGCAATTTTTAATTTCAAAAAGTTTTTAATGTAAAAGGGATTAATTGCATATACAAGTATTTCTTTACATAATACTGGAATTTATGAGTTAATGTTAATAAATGCAAATGATCAATTGAACAAGGAGACAGTCAAAGTTAACATTTAAGAGCCTAAAAGCTTAATTTAATGGTTGTAATAGTTTCTTTATTAAAAAGGACAACTTTGTAATGTTTTATAATTGGAAAATAACATGCAGTTGTCTTAGACTATTAATTATTCCTTATCCAATTAGCTAAATTTCACTACACCGAGATAATAAACTGATACGTACTTTTGTCTTAATGAAAGGAACAATTATATTTGCATAATTTTAGATGGTCAGAATGGAGTACAGAACGGAAGATTGAATTTAATGATTTAGATGGGACGAAAGAAAGAGGTCATCGGTATCGTATTCATCAGACCAGCAGAAGCAATGAAATTAAAACTGTTACTGGAACAGGTAAGTAAAATGGAAAAAAACAAAAGTAAACTGCTACTAGAAAGTATGGTGGAAAATTGTTGAAAGGAATAGTAAAGAAAAAGTAGCAAAGCATTAATCGGATGTTAAATTATTTAGTATTGATTACATTGGGATGAATGTTTGAGGTGATAAGTTAGTGCTAATTAGTTTTCTAATTTTGTATATTTGTACAAAATAACATTGCATTTCGTTAAAAAAAACCATCGAGACTAATTCGTTAATTTAGTTTTTGATATAACAACGCCATTTTCGAGATTTATTTCTATTTTTATTTATTTTTTTCATTCCAAGGAATGAAATTGAAGAGTAGCAGATTGGAATCATACGTTGGTTAATTGAATGAATAAAGATTTGAAAATAATCTGGATATTTTATTTATTTTCAGGTCAACAAAAATCAGAAAGTATCAAAACATCCATTCATGGACGAAGGAAGGAACATCATCAAGTTCATAAAAAGAAAGATTCTAGTGATTGTGATGATAGCGAATACTATAATGATGAAGAAATAGGCAAAAGCGTTGTTAGCCAAGACAAAGAAAAGCTAAAAGAACATTTTGGAAAATTTGGTGGTAGCGGTAGTAAAAAAGAGTTAAAAAGGGAAAAACAAAATTTTGCTGAAGGAGAAAAGGTGGAATTAATTGCTACCGGAGAAATTGGGAATCAAACGAAAGGCACTTTCAACGAAACGGAAGCAGGTAATTTTTTGGTAATCAAATTATGTAAATTTTACCCATCATTTTTTACTTTTCCACTAATTTATACGACTACTAAATTCTACGAATTCTACGAATCTCAAAGATTTAATATATTTTGTAAACATAGGTAACATGGTTAATTTCGAGATTCAAACAAATCATACAATAACCTCTTCTCATATTCCAACCACAAAAAAGGATCGAGGTCGTAGTGCTCATGACACCGTTGGGGTTACGACAACGGCAAAAAACAAAAAGGAAGATCATTCAAATGCAAAGAAGGGAGGACATGTGGATGATTTGAGGGGACAGGTATTTCCAAACTTTTTTAAATTTATTAAGTAAAACTAAAGGATGAGTAACCTGAAGTTCGTATGCCTTCATATACTCTACGACCATTCCAACTTCTAATTTCTTTGTTTTCAGTTTTTCCCCTAAGCTTCCTTATTGGCCTTTCAATTTTTTACCAATACCACAGGTTTAAGTCATCAAACTCTTACATCTGTGAGCTAATCCTTTTTCATAGTTTCTTATAGTTTACCAGAGCAATCATCTTGTTGTCATCAATATTGCTCGAATTAGATATTATATCAGGTAGATACAGTGATACAATGATTTATTGAGACTTAATACACTTGCCCAAATGTCACATGTAATTTGCTAGGTCAATAATTCATTTCATTCATTTGCTATAACTCATTGGAATGATCAGATTCAGATTGTGATATCTTTTCGATTTTAAATTTATTTCTCATGTTTCCTTTTATCTAACTTTTATAGAAACGAAAAAAAAGTGAAGTGGAAAAAGATACAGCGAGAAAACCGAAATCACTTAAAGGTATTGTCATTTTTAAGTTATGAAAATGGTCATATTTATTTCATACTTTTGAATCCCTAACTTTACGTTGCTTATGAATACTACTTTGAAGTAAGGCTGTTCTTTTCTAGCAAATTCAAAATTCTATATTGCTAAATAATAAGCCAAATTTTAAATTAAATGCGATGATCCTAACTTATTGATGACTTAAATACTTATAAGATGGAAATATTCGGCATGGAATGATTTAAATCAGCCAGAATATATTTCTCAATTTTATTTTAATAATTCTAGCAAGAATAGCACTGTTTTGCTTTTAGTTATGCCAATTTTTTGCTCATTATTGTAGATTTGAATTTTCGTCAAGTTTGGATTTAACACTTTTTCTAAGCTTAAACTGATTCACTACCAAGTTTCATTTTTCAAATTTTTCAATTTGCTCTTGACTATTTCTGTCACTATTAATGATACAATTTCCAATTTCAAAAACTATTCTATGCTGCGTTACATACAAATTTTCATGTCATAAGTAAACTTTGCTTAATTAACATAACATTTATCACTTGAGATTGGACTTGTGACAAACTGATGTAAAACTTCTTTTGCGGTACACAGTGGTGAAGATGAATTGTTGAATACTGTAGTTTTCCGGAAGGATGCGAAATATTTTACGCAAACATCTCTTCCATTGCTTCACTGTGTTTTTAATTTTGAATAAAACTGAATTTGTTACTTATTAGAAAATGAACTGTACGGATATTGTGAAATAAACCTGAAAGTTGAAAAATTATGGAATGAATGTTACGAAATTGCTTAATCCATATCAAACCGAAAATGTTTAATTATTGCAGAGAAATCAACCGAGAAAATGGTTTCAAAAAAATTACGGGTAAATGCGACAACTTCTAATGAAAATGGCACTTCAAAAGGACTTGAAAAGGTTCTTTCATGAATTAATGTATTGGTTGACTTTTTCGACAGTTATTTCCTTTTTTATTTGAAACTAATTGAAAAGTATCAAAAATAAAGATCAGAAATAGAATTTGGAAACAAAAAACTGAATAATCTCTATGTTTAGGAGCTTACTTTAAAGGAAAAAACTTCTGATAAACAAGGAGAGAAGAAAAATGATGAATTAAAAAATAAATTGAAATCTGGAAGCAAACAATCACCAAAATCAGTAGTAAGTCCAGCTCGTAAAGGTGAATTAGGTCACGATCCAGTCGTACCTGTGGTAGGTGCTGGTCGTCAAGCTGATGTCATGCCGCCACCGAATTGTTTCAGTGCCGATACAAAAGTTTACACACATAATGGAGAAAAAACAATGAAGGAAGTTTTAGTAGGCGATTTTGTAAGTTCCTTTTGTGCAATTAACTGAGACTATTTTGGACGTTTCCTAAATAGTTTCCTTTTTTTTTTACTATCCAACAATTTTGTAATTGCTGCTTCCGTAAAATAATATACGCATATACTTTGCAGGTTCTCGTGCCGGTGAGTAAAAGTCAATTGAGGTATGAGCGAGTGGAGATGTTCTATCATCGAGAACCGGAAACTCGGGCAAAATTTGTAGTACTAGAGACGGAATCAGGCCGAAAATTGAGTTTAACGGAATTACATCTTCTTCCACTAGGTGATTGCAAGAAGATGCGTGAAAGTATGACTGATACTGCTGATATCGTAGATCAATGGCTTCGGAAGTCAAAGTTCGCACATAAGGCACGCATAGGTGATTGTGTATTCACAGTAACATCAAATCATGAGTTACAAGTGGATCGTATCATAAAGGTATCTTTATTGCAGTTATCATCTAATGCTACTAACTTTTAATGATATCATAATGCTTTCGTATGAGTGATACTGAAGTAACAGTAAAAAATATCAGTTATTGATCGATCGATTGATTGATTGACCGGTTGAATTTATTGGCTGTGCCAAAGAATGGTTGTTTCAGATCGGCAGACAGTATCTAAAAGGTATCTATTCACCGATGACTGTAGAAGGATCAATTGTAGCAGATGGTGTGCTTGCCTCATGTTTCTCACAAGTGGAAAATCATTTCACCCAGAAATTAGTCTATGATTTTTTTGTTTTCTTACATCGGATTTTCAGTCCATTTATGCAATCATTGGATGAACCTATTCAACATTTACCTACTTTTATTGATTCCATACATCATTTGGGTCGTTTTGCTCTTCCTTTCGTCAAATATTAAATACAAAACATCTAGCAAATACCTGTCCCATATGTATTAAATCAAAGATCCAAGTTATTGACTGTTTTCGTTTAGAAACAGTTGACAGCAATTTTACAATTCTATCACAAGTTACTTTAAATGTTTAATCAATATGTGATAAGTTGATATTCATATAGTAAGCAATGATTTTAAATAATTGAACAATCTATTTCAATTTCTATATTAAATCTTAAACAATTTCAATCTCTATATTATTTTGTCGGTAAAATTGTAAATTTCGATATCTATTTTTTAATTTTTATTTTCAATTTACTTTTGAAAATGTTGAAGTATTCAACATTGGAAATGGAGAAAGTATATATTGAAGTTCTGAGAATAAAAATTGAGAAATAATCGAAATTGAAGAAGCACAGGTTTGAGTTATTATCATCACTAACTATTTTCACTTGCAATAATAAATCGATCCATACTTCGTTTTAACATTTTCCTTTTCTATTTCCAACCTGGATGACTATTAATGCCATTGAATAGGACAGTTAACGATCAATAATTAATCTTCGATTAATTTTTTTACCGATTACTATCATTGGTAGTTTAATGTATGTATTGTCACTTTATCTTATGATATGATAACATCCGTTAGCATGAAAAAAGCCTGTTTGTCACCATAGTTTACTTATTCTCAACGATATAGCAAGCAATAATCCTATGAAATAATAAAATTAACATTAACAGCTTCATTGAATTATTGGTTCTTAACAACAACAGTAACAACACTACTGATTAATAAAACACTTATCGCATCAGTTATCATTTATCACTTATCATATCAATTATCATTTATCACTTATCACATGGTTGATAGATTTTTAACATTTTTGAGGATATCATTTTTTGTGAGTAACGAATGTAAAGATAGAATTTACCATTGTTTGCAACGGATATTGTATTGTCTTTTAAATTAGATCCATTAACATGTAATGCCAATTAAAATCAAACTTTGCTCTATTATATATTGTCAAATACGTTGGTATTTATTGGATTTGTTATTTTAATCTTCAAACAATTTTGAGAATTGGACATTGATGCATTATGCAAATTCTGCTCATTACCTAATTTGATACTAATAATTCAAACTATTAATTTAATCTTTTCTGATCACAGTTATGTAACGGGTGAAATCAAAGCATTAAAGCTGATAATGCTTTCAATAATGTTTATGAAGGATAGTGAAATTTTGTGGAGAGTTTTTTTTACTATATAATTTCTTAAAAGTTAATTATGGCTTACAAAAGTTGAATTTCAGTATGGCATCATTTTGAGTTTCTAGTGCTGTAATTTGTCACATTACTGCAGAAGTGTACTGTGTGATAAAAAGATAATTGCTTATTTTCTCAATTTTAAATCACATTACACTTTTTAACAAGAAAATACAGTTCCTTCTACCATAGCTATAATTAATATGTATTGCTTTTGTAATACATATTAATTATATATTAATTTGTAATACATATTAATTATATATTAAATATAATTAATATGTATTGCTTTTGTAATACATATTAATTACATATTAATTATAAATTTGTTGCTAAAAAGCACATTTATATACTCATTTTTTTATGATTTCAATCATATTCCTACGATTTTATTGCTAAGGTACATTTACTAATAAAATTCCTCGAAAATGTAGGAAGTACCAATGGCCTAGGCTTATTATAAGTGTCATTTCTTCTAGTGCTGGCCAGTCTACCGATTTATTTCGTCTATTTTGTTAAAATATGCAAAAAAAGAAAAAACAGAGAATAATAGGATTTCTCAGGAATATATGACTGAATGCTTTGCTGAAATGCTTTCCAGTTTTCCGAATTGTATATTACAGTAATGAAAAACAAATTAGACTTAATTTCCAAAATTATTAGATCGAGCGATAAGCGCAACAAACAACAACAGTAATACTTACTCCTTTAAAATTTCCTTGAGAAAAGCGCAAGTTGAAATATCCCATTTCATCTCTCTTCCATTTTCTCCTCCTTCTGTAAATTATGAAATGATGTGTAGTAATAAAGGAAAGATAAACTGTATATTGAAATTAGGACAATATCAATTTCAAACTTAATATACCTAAATACTTCAACTGCATTCATGCATCACCGATATATCGATTGACCATTGGCATAATCATTGACCGAATGTTGGCAAACTTATTACTGTTCCATCTATCCACTGAAATATCATATCATAAATTTGTTGCTGATAAATTTCACAAGCAAATAATGGCCATCATGGAATCATCACGTCTGATGACAATTCTTTCCACCTTATTCTCAACCATTTCATTACTTCTCATCATCATCATCCTACCATCCTTTTTTACTTATATTCAACGTTCCAATACTGCATTGCTTTCAGAGCTTTACAAATGCTATGTAAGTAAACTTTGAAATCCAAAATGATAAGGAGAATAGATGAAAGAAATTCGAATCATTGATTTGCCTATTATTCCGCAAGACTATGAAAATTTGAAGTATTCGACATGGTTACGGAAATCCAAAATATTCCATATAGTTATGGGAATTGAAAATGTACCGCAGAAATACGGGAATCCAAAATGTTATAATGATGTTAATCGATAAATTCATGTAAAAGCATTATCTGCTGGAAGTGTATTTCATCTATCTGAGAGTTGTAAGAAATTTTCATTAGCAATGAAAGATCTATAAATTTCAGATTAATAGCAATGATGTTTGGAGGAATGTCCTGCAACTTCAATTTAGCACGCAGTCGCGCAAACGTCGATTTTATAATGCTCCAACAAGCGAACGACCACCTTCCACATGTTTACTTCTCTCCTTTTTCCAATTCTTCAGTCTAAAAAAATTTAGATAATAAATTCGTATTTCAAAATTAATTGTAAATGCCAATTCTACTTAAGACAGTATTAAAATAATTCCTTTTACTGTGGTACTAAGTTTTTAATTCATGTTTCAGTATTCCATATTCTAATTAGTTGTGAAATTCCTCCGCATTTAATTGCATTATAAAGCAAAAATAATATAGGTCAAGTCAAGCTAGATTATATTTAAAACAAAATTTGCTCTAAATGACAGAGTTGAAAATTTGAAACTGTTTAAAACTTCTTATTTCATAGCTTATCAGTTGTTATATTCTTGAATACTTTTTTCATTTCTATCTCATTAATTTGAAGAGGGATAATTCCAGGTTGCAGCTGCCAACAGGGTAAAGCTGGACCACCAGGTATACCTGGAAAGCCTGGACGAGATGGTAAAATTTTAAAAAGACCATTGATCGCTTTGACAACCATGCATTCAAATGTGTTATAAGAACTTCTGTATTAATGATTTTCTCTTTCAGGAGCCGCTGGACCATCGGGATTGCCAGGAAGAGATGGCAAACCTGGACAACATATGATGCCACCGAAAGGTAACGAAAACAGTTGTCAAAAGGTACTGCCTTTTTTAATTACTTGTGAAAATGTAAAAATGAAACGCTTTGAGAGATTTCATGGCATTTTCTTGACGAGCAGAAAAATTTTGAACCGGATTATTGGTTATAATACAAAGACATTATAGAAATTATTTTTCTGGGAAGTGCAGAACATAACAAAAATTTATCCAAGTAACAGATTTTTAAGTGCAATTCTATTTTTGATTAACTTAATTTTGTGCGATGTTTTCCGATCAACTTAATTTCAACTTAATACTCCAACCTAAATTAACTTGATGTTTTTAATTAACTTAATTTCATGCTAATGATTTATTTAGTGTCCGATAGCTTCACCAGGACCTCCGGGATTATCTGGTCTGAGAGGACCGAGAGGACCACGCGGGTATGTATGCACTGATTATTGTTTGATGAGAACAGCTGTTGGATTTTTCATACCGCATATTATTATATCAATATGTTGTACTATTGTTTGTACCGTAATAATGAGTAGGGTACTTGGCGGAGCCAATAATACAGAACTGAAATTCTTATAAATTATCCCATCGAATAAGGCATAATTTCAAACTTCAGAATTCCGGGCGTGCCTGGAGATGATGGTCCTCCGGGAAGAAAAGGACCACCAGGACCAACGGGTGTTCGAGGTCCTCCTGGACCATATGGACCAAAAGGACCAACAGGTGATCCTGGGCGCATACTCAATGGAGCACCTGCCGGACCAAGAGGGCCTCCAGGTAAGTTTTAGTCAACCAAACAATCTAATCATATCGACTCTGTTCGCAAATCGCATGAATAAATATTGTGTCCTTTTAAGCTTGAATATAAAAATATTTTCAGGACCGATTGGATCGCGAGGACGTATCGGAAGTCCTGGACGGTGAGTGGGAAACATTTTTCTGGGGAATATTTTTTCTGCAGAACGTAGTAGTAAAAATTTATCTGCAAAAGATTTTCAGAGATGGCAATCCTGGAGAGATGGGCATGGCAGGAATGCGCGGAGAGCAAGGCGAAAGAGGAAGTAATGGCGCACCGGGATTACGAGGACCACCAGGACCTCCTGGGCCACAAGGAAACAAAGGTTCATTTCCATTCCTGGATCGTTTGTTTTCAAATTTTCATTACATAGCACAGTTCCAATCAAAAAATTAAATTTTATAATTTAACAGGTAGTTGTGATCATTGTCGACCACCGAAAGACTTATCATTATCAGAAAATCCTTCCGTCATAAGCAGTAAACCAGTTGAACCAAAAACTACGGGATATACGAATTTGAACGTACCACGTTACTACAGTAATGAACCGGTAAAGGGTACTGGTAATCGTCCACTTGGTTATGATATCAATAATGATGAAAGATTGAAAGACGAAAAACAAAATGGTTCCGGTGATGAGGAACGCATTGCTCGAGGGAAATTGAAATTTCGTGATCCATATAATACGAAAAGAATTGAGAAAAATGATGTAACGAAGCTATATGATCAGAAACATCATCGACCACTTCGAGTATCACCAGCAATAAGGAAGAATGGATACTACTCTTAGTACTTTTTCTCCCCCACGTATTATGCGACTTCATTTTGTCGTTCACTTTCTTTCTTTAAGGATTTCTTCAAAATGTTTCAAAACTTTTTTAATTTAATATCAAACATTGACATTATTGAATCCTCTGAACTTTGATATGGAATACTTTGAAATAAAAACAAAAAAAAAGGAATTTACTCAGAATACTTGCCATTTGCCATCCACACTAAAAATGAACTGCGGGATTTCTGAAAAAAGCGTCAGGATATAGCAATTTCATTCGCGAAACATGGATTGGTCCGTTACAGACGGATGGGGTGAAAGAAACAGGCATGAGATTGCCGGTGAGCTCTGTGAATGGGGAAGTGACGCGAGAAGGAGTGGTGGGATTAAAACTTGATGACAAACTTACGAACTGAATCTATGTTCATCGAGATTTTGACGCTACTTAAAATTCTTTTTTCGACTTTTTTTTTCTAAAAAAGAATCTTCGAAAAATTGAAGGGGTATCGGCATATTTACCAACTATATGATATACTCATAGCTTGGTTACATGACTACACCTGATCTGTTGCTTCCTTATTTTCAAAGACATCAAAGTTGTGAAAGTTTTAAAATTTGAAGAATGATGCTGTTTATTTGTTTGTCTTTTTTTTTAGATTAAGCATCATTATTTATTTGTCTTTTGTGAGATTAAATATCATTAATTGATAGGAAATGATTTCGTTATGCAGTTGTAAGATTAATAGTTGCTCCTTTTTTGCCACCTTCCCATTTAAAACGGAGCTAATGTTGATGAGTTAAATGTTCATTAAAACATTTGAGGTTGTGCGATTTTAAGCGATAATGGGCATGCTTGATATCATTCTTATCTACTTTACGAAATAAAGCAGACTTAATTGTGTGAATTGGATCCACTGGTTACGGGATGAACATTTTCCGGAGTATGTTTGAAAGACGTCTTTCACAATTCGCTTTTAGAACCACCAGATTCAGTGGTACTTTCATTCTTTATTAATTAAGGTTTTGAAAATTCCGTAACAAGGTATCCTTTACTATCTTATTTAGTAGCGCATAACTTACTAGCAATTGCGTAAAGTTATGAGCAGTTTTTGAGTTGACAAGTTGAGCAAATGGGCTTAGGGAAGAGAACTGTTTTTGGAAAAAAAAATTAGCAGTTCTAAGGCATTTATATCTTTAATGAATATTCATATAGATCTCCAGTCTTCTTGCTATACTGACTATGTCGATTTTAGAGATGGGTTTTCCGGGTTTTCACATTGTGGCTCACTGTTATGTAGTTTGGCGAGATTTTGGCAGTCATATTCTTTTCGAGATTTCTCTACAGTTCCAACTTTATTTTGGTTAACTGACGAAGATATTTTCATGTTAAAATTTCACCACTTCATTTTAGGGAAGAATCGAATGATAAAATTGATCCATCAGCTACCACTGTCTTACCAAAATTGTGAAACCGCTGAGCGAAAAATCTCTCTAAATCCGGTCTTGCAAAAATTGCCCTGGCAACTGCCAAGTAAGGAAAAAGAGATGGTTTGTTATCATTCTTCTATAATTCAACTAGCATTGTTTTTTCGAATTTCTCTTGTGGTCATTTCATTTCGATTATTATGTCAAGTTAATGAAGATTTGTTACCTGGAGCTGAAATCTGGAAACACTTTTTTTGTCTTCTTGGTGATCACCACCAAGAAGACAAGAAGATGAACTTCTGATTAGAGATGCAATGATTAAACGATAAACTTCTCACCAAAATACGTTTTTAAACAGTGGAAATGAAACATTATTTTATGGGGTTGTATCAGATCTTGTGCCAATATATATTTATCTTTCAGGTGTTCACTTTCCCAGGTGCAAGTCGACAACACCTCTCTGTACCTGGTGTATTTGTAAATGAGCTTTTGAAAAAATTCGATCCTCTGTCGTCATTTCAAGTGCGTAGTTTAGTTATTTTTTTTTACTTTTGTTTTTTGTTTTTTTTGAAGGGTAATTCCTTTATTTTACTTCGATTTTAAAGTAAGCAGTATTATTTCACTTTCTCTGGATTATAAAATAAGGACTACTTTCGGTTACGTTAATCATTTTTTGACTTCCTTCTAATTTTAGATACCTTTACAACTACCTCAGCAGTCGCAGATGGTAGAGATATTTACCGGCGAACGTATGTTGAAAATTCGCAGGCATAAGATGAGGAAACATAAACGTCGAAAGCGTTACGATAGAGATTATTTTAAATATCAAAAATACCATCGGCAAAAAAAAGCCAAAGTAATGAAATGATTTTGGGCTTGTTTTTTACAAAAGATATTTTAGTTCCTTCACTTAGAGAGCTGGATCTGAAGTATTTGTTTGGATTTTTGGACCAAACTGCATAAATGTCGTTTCAATCGAAAAAAATAGAGGTATAAAGAAAAGACAGGTTATGGGTAGTCGTTTGCTGTGCTCATCAATTAAATCTGAAACTTTGATATTGAATTGCAGTGTTCCTATAAAATTGCAGGCAGAAAATCTGTTCCGGAATCGTATGCGCAAAATGCTTGAGGATTACAAAGCATTTGACCCTGAGAAGTATATTACAGATATCATAGCTTGGTATGTCATGTCTGACTTGAAATTATCATTTGTTTTCAAATTATGGAACTAAAGTATAATTAAATTTCAGTGCAAAACAGGATGTGACAAAAGATGTATCGCCTAGTGGTCGACGAAAATATCCGCACTGGTCTACGCTAATTACTCTGGAAGAGTTATATGGATTACCTCAAACCGATTATATTGATAAAAGAGCTGGACTGGCAGGAGATGAAGATCGTGACAAAATTAAGCAAATGAAAAAGGAATACGATGAAAAATATCGTGGATTTTTGACTCGTACCAATTGTTTTCAAGAAAAACAGCAAGAAAAGCAGAATTCCCTGGGTGAAACAAAGATGGAGGCGAAGAAAATTGTTGGGTGCAGTAGAAATTTGGAGGAAACTACTCGTGAAGTTGATAAGGCGGAAAATGGTGATAATATCAAGAGTTGATGACTGCAACAACGTGATAGAAATCTCATTCTGTTTCTGTTCAAAATTATATGATTGTCTTGTATTTCTAATTCGACTTTAGTAATTTACTTTTGGCCTTTTTTAAATCAAAATTTCCAAATTTAAGGTCTTATGCTTGCTTTAAACAGGCTTGAAAGATTGCTTTTTTTCTAGATCACATATTTGGTTCATATCAGCACTAGTGGAGCCAAAATTGTTGAAAGGCGCCAAAATTGTTTGAAAGCATTTTATTCTTGGATTCCAATTGTACACTGTTGTTTTTGCAAATCGCGAAGCCTTAATCCAGTGTTCGTAATGCGTGATTGATAATTGTTATCACTATGTTTATTCGTGTTTTTTTGGATAAGGAAGTATCCGAACTTAAGTTAATTGTTTTTTTTTTTTGGGAAAATGTTTTTCACGTTGTGAAGAAAATTTGTCTATAAGGTGTTGGTTTTTTGAACACTGAAGTATATTAGTCATTTCAATCATAACACAAGTAAGAAAGATTCAAACTTTCATTCCGGTCATCAATTTTGTCAGTGCTTGGCATTTATGAGTCCAAAAGATATATTTTCTAGGCGGAAATCAGCTAAATCAGTGATCAGAAATAGAATCTGCAAGTGATTTTATGTCTGTTGTATAGTAGGATCTGTAATGATATGAGTGCTGATTCGATTTTGGAAATCACAGGACCGGATATTCCAAGTATCATAAGCTAAAACAATACATTTTCCCGGAGATTTCCGGTCATTGTCGAAGTTATAATTTTTGCAAGAAAAAGACCTGTGTGTTGCTGATTGGCAAGTGACATGTAAGAAATATGCTACACTTTATCGCCCGACCTGAGGATACTTTTGTCATACTGACTTGTAGGTGGACCTTGTGAATGTTGGAAAGTAGGTTGATATGGCAAAAACTGAATTTGATACCATAAAGCACAAATATTAGAATTAATCAAACTGATTTCAAGCGGATTAAAACATTTTTTTTTAATCTACAATTGATAAACAACTGATACCATGAAGTATTTGACATACAAATGCGCTGCAAATAACTTTGCATAAATTTGGACATTTCCGTTGTCCGGAAGTTTAAAATTTTTTCTTGATTTGCAAACTTGCTTGTAAAACAAACAAAGTACTAAATGAGCGAAATTATATAACTTATTTTGGAACCGCATATACTTTAAAAGACAGTGCTTCTTTGAAACTTTTGATCATTCCTAGTTTAACTTACCCAAGTAGATACCACAGGGAAAAGCGGGATGTGCTTTAGCGCCTTATATGATCATTATTCACTTTTGATACTCAATTCATTGTTCTTCTCGATGGCTTACTTCTTGGTTGGTCAGGATTAGTTAATTTAGATAGTACTAGGCTATTTGTTTTATTTATAAATACATCAAGATGCTTTCAAATAATCGAGTAGTTTAGCATTACTGATTTGATATTAATTAATCTTTATTTCTTTAAATTTTCACTATTTCATAAAGTATGATACATAATTCGGGGATGGTTCAGTAAATGATTGATTTTTTTTTTCATTTTAATAAATGATTGAATTTTTTTTCATTCAGATCTTATATTATGATTTATATTATAATTTAGTTAATTATTTAATTCAACAATTCTCTTCAAGATACCAATTTTTCAGACCGTCGCAGTGTAGATACTTTAACAATTTACTACTAAAATAGTTTAAAAACGATGTCCAGTTTACAACAACAAGACCAATCAACTGGTCTAACAACCATTAATGATGATAACAATATATTTTATCATAAATTAGGCGGCATCTCAACTACCACACCAGCACTATCATTATCAACAACTCTAGCAGATCAAACGTTAGTTTGAAATTAAGAAAATTCCAGAAAAAGATTTCATAAATCAAATCATGCAAATATTAAAATTAATCATGTAAATATATCTTACATGCAAAAAAAAAATTGGAATACTTATAAAGAGTTGAAATCCTCCAAATATTTCTCTAGTGCAATAGTTTTTGGAATAAAGACCTAATGCAAATTTGTAGTTGCTCTATAAACTACAAAACTTTTCAGATTTGATATTAGGGAAGGGATAATAAATATGAATCATTTCTTATTAGAGTTCAATGAAAGTTCAATTTTTGAAATTAAGGATTTCTTAATAATGATCATTTTCATTGAAATCCGTGAATTTATAAATAGATTCCCAAGGGAAAATTTGTAAATTCCTTCAAGGGATGAATGTAAAGTGTAGTGAATTCCACAGTTTTATGTATCGTAACATTTACTGAAATTTTTGTATCACCAATTTTGAACCTTTAAAGCTCTTTGTCTGTATATGTGGAACCTGAAATTGATTTAATTAGCATGAATGTGTTTTTATTTACTTACAAACATTTGTCACACATTATACCGTGTTTTTATCGTTTTTATATTTCAGATTATATGAGAATTATAATTTGAAATGGGACGAAGCTTCATTAGAGCAGAAAGTGGCAGCACTGAAATTGGAGACCCAAAAACAATTACTCAATGAATTTATGCTTCGAAAGGTTCAAATGCAGAATGCTCCGTTAACTTATCCAACCGAAATTCATGTTAGTACGAATATCTTGGCATTAATTATTAGTAGTTTAACTATACGTTATCTTTACAGGCCTTATTTAGAAATGATACTTCAATAGTCCTAAACTAATTTAATGACTTAAAATTGGCAGAAAACTATTTGCAACAGTAATATCATTTGTGCATCCGATGATGAATATTGGAATTTAGCACATAAAATACAATAAGTAACATATAAATCTGAAATAAAACATTTAATTAAAAATGAATTATAAGCAATTACAAAAATAAGCAAAAAATTTTAGCTTCGTACATCAAAAGGGTCAAGTCAACGAAACCGTGATCTGTACAAAACAGCATTATGTGATTTTTGGAGCGCTGGAATACCATGCCGATTTGGTGAACGTTGCTGGTTAGTGGATTCGTCGTCTAAGCTGTCATAGAACTATCAATCTTTCAGCATTACGGTATTTAATTCGATCTGTTAATGCAAATTTTAGGTTCGCGCATGGTCCACATGAACTTCGTATTGCACGTTTTGTTTACCCTGGTTTGCATCCATATGATTATGAAATCCGCGTGAACTCTCCAAATATGTTATCATCATCCTATGGACGAGTGCGTTTTCTTTAAGAATTTTTATGAAATTTTAAAAAATTTGAAGTATTGAAACTTCCGAAATTTTAAAATTTGAAGGATATGACTTTTGAAACTAAAGAATTTGATTTTTGCAGCGTTTCTGGAATTTGGAACAAAGTTACCCAGTAGCTAGTGCACAACCCACACCTATGACAATCACTCCAATGGGCAAAAATGTACCAATTGGTTATGAACGCAAACTTCGTCGCATATCTCCGGTTCACGAGAATGTTGTTAGATGTTTTGAAATTTGAAGATTCTTGCATCGAAAGTATCCCAATTATCTCTACATTTTTTAAATCATAAATTGCAGAATTCAAAGAGCTGGCGTACGACACAGCGTGTGTCAGATGGTGATTCTGGTATTGGAAGTACAGGCACTAACAATTCACCAGAAGTAAATCCAAAATGTGTAAGTTCTACCGATTGAATTTCGGGAGAATTTTGATAAATTTCTGGAGAATTCGTGGTGCGCATAAATTTACAATAATTTAGTTGCCAATGAATTCGTCTAAAACATCATACCAAGAAATTAGTATCTTCGTGAATCAATCAAAAAAAAAAAAAAATCTGATAAGTATAATATTTTTTCCAGTACGATTTTTTCGGACAGGGTTTAATCAGACAAAATCCTTCTCGGAAATTTTAATTTAAAAGGAAGATAGACTTCAGGATAAACAAAAGCCTATAAAGTTTTTCTTTGGACCTTTTGTTGGAATTTTAGATACATCCAATGGATTTTGGAATTTCAATAGGAATAACTGACATAAGCTATATTTTAGCGAGAAAACTTGGATGGTGCAACATACCAGTTCTCCCCATTTCATGAAACACCATTAACAGGTGACAATAGAGTGGTACCGCAACACCTTGTTGGTTTTATTACTATTTGGATTTTCAAAATCTCTCTAATTCGTCTTTTTTTAAGAAAGAGAATCTGTCCTTTTCGCTTTTGATACTATCATGTATTGTGTGTAATGACTACAGATATATATTTCAAATAGTAGGTGAGAAATAGCATAAATTGAGCTATTTCAATAAATTAAATCACTCCATAAATCAAGCCACTTCTAGCTACGTCCACTGGATACATTGACAAACCGGGAGCAAATAGATTTCTCAAGAAACGAAGCATATAATCATTGGTTAAACACCGGAACAGTACAGTCAAGCAGTATACAGTTAGCATCAGGTTTAGAACAGGTTAGCTAACATCTCTTCCGTGGATCAGATAGTTGGTAATTTAATTTGAGTAAGCTTATTAGGATCCAATTTACCTTACTTCTAGATGAGCTGGTGGGCCGACACAATTAGTAACGCATATCCATTCATTAACTGTCCAAGCCAAAACATTCAGTTTAATACGACAGGATCGACGAATGAACAGTGTTATTCGATATGCATTGAACCAAGAGTTGACAAAATTGAAGCTTGACTTCTATCCAGATGCGAGAACTAATTAGACAATACATAGATTTGTAAATACTTCTTATGATTGTTATTTACCAATTTCTTTTTCATATTTTGATTCCTGCAAGTTTGGAAAGTTTATTATGATTGTTTTTTGTTGAAAGAATCCTTTCCAAACAATCGCCATATTGTTGCTTTTTATGCTACTTTGATATTTCTTATGTCTTTTTTTTCATTTTGTTATTTATATTGCTATCCAACCATCTTTTCATCTGTAAATTTTGATTTTAGGCCATTTTATGCAAATGTCAAATATCACTTACAACAGCAAATTCTGTTCCTTGACTTCGAAAAATCACTGGAATATTTTCTAATCTGAAGGTCGATCATGAAAACCTAACATAATCATGTACTACAATTGAGTGTGTAGTAACATACTGGGCTATCAGAAATAATCTAATTGGCACCCCCTTCAGAAAACACAGTCAAGATCTAGGTGACGGAGTTGCAATGAATGCCAATATAGCCACAGTTTAAATCTTTAATTTGTAAAAAGACGAAAGTGTGCAAATATTGTTGTTGTTGTTATACAACAGATGTTGTTACCTTGTTGTTATTGTAAATGAATTTAGAAATTCGTCTCACTTCAATGACTATTGTAAAATAGAAAGTATTTACAGGGGCCTATATGGATATATATATATATATATACATATATATATATATATATATATATATATATATATATATATATATATATAT